ATATATATATATATATATATATATATATATATATATATATATATATATATATATATATATATATATATATATATATATATATAATGTATATATATATAGGAGTATTATTATTAATAATTTATTTATACATACAGGGTACATGTAATAAATGTGGACACTGAGTCAATACAAACTCCCACAATAACATGAGTTTAATAACACTTAGGACAACAAGGTCTGGCAACTTGTGTATGTACTTGTCAACTAGCATATCCATCTTATCCATCATGTGACAGTGACAACTGATAAGTCAGACATATATATGCTGTAGCATTAAAAATAGAGCTTTTGGAACTTGGTTTATTGAAATTTAACCACATGTCCTTTGTCCATACTTTGAATTCATTTACTGTACATGATTTACATGTCTCTCTGGAAAAATGATGTACCATGCATTGTTTACACAAAGTTTGACCTGTTTAGACTCTGTTGCCATAAAAAAAAATTAGTCACTGATAGACATAAAGTTGCCATTTTGAAGTTTGACTAGTAAAATATGAGTACACTAGCTTCAGCAGTGAGCATAAAATATATACAATAACATCATACAGGCACACCTGCTACAAGTTGCATTTTATACTAAAACATAGGATATATAATGCAGTGTATAGAAAAGAATACAAAAGACTTATAACAGTCCTGTAGAAAGTAGAATGGATAAAAAACATCTATGAAAGAATTACAAATATTAAGAGGAGAGTTTTGGTGTAATATAATTAAGACAATATTTATATACATATATATGAACTTGAACTTGTAAATGCTTGTAGAATTACCTACTAATTAAAGTAAAGGGACACAAGTGCAACCAATGTGACATTTTATTGTGGCAACATTTCACTCTCCAGGAGCTTTGTCAAGCCGTTACAAATAATACGTGGACACAGAGGGTATATATAGGCTTAGAGTGAGGTGTAATACTACTGGTAGAAATAGTAGTAGTAATATAAGTTGTAGTAGTAGTAGCAGTAATACAATTAATTTGCACATGAGTAAAAGGATATAAAAGCTATTACACCTAAAGTCAGTTCCGGATCAGCCGGGCTGTGGCTCGTATGTTGGTTTGCGTGCAGCCAGCAGCAACAGCCTGGTTGATCAGGCTCTGATCCACCAGGAGGCCTGGTCTCAGACCGGGCCGCGGGGGCGTTGACCCCCGGAACTCTCTCCAGGTAAACTCCAGGTACCGTCCGACTTACGACCGAGTTCGGTTCCGAGAAACCAGTCGTAAGTCGAAATGGTCGTAAGTCGAACTTTACTACTGAATATCAACAAAACATTTTTGTAATGACTTTATTTTATTGTTTTATTTTGGTATTTCACGTTTTACTTTACTTTTTATGCTGTTAGTGCTGTATTTTATACTGTAAGGTTTAGGATAAACACTTTGTACAACACAAATAGTTGTTTATTTCCCAGAAATTTGGCATAGTATAAAAAACACGGTCATAAGTCGAGTGGTCGTAAGTCGAGCAGGTCGTAAGTCGGATGGTAGGTGTACTTGGGTAGCATAAAAATAGGTTAGACAAATATTTCTATTGGAGGTTAGACTAGAGAAGACCTGTTTCAGTGTTCATCTTCTGTAATGTGCTTGTGTAGTATTAGCAGGAGAGACTATGTGATGGCAGGATTTACTGTTTTCAGGAAGATTCTTGCTAAAACTTCAGAGATGGCAAAGCTGCCTTTGTTTTGTTTAATTGTATTAGAAACAGCGATTAGTGCTGATTCAAAGCACTTGTGTCTGTGGAAATTAGTTTCTTTGATCACTAATTGGATGTCCTAGAATTTCATGAGATGATTGGTGGAATTTCGGTGTTGTATGCAGGCATTGTTCAAGTTATCGTTCCTACATGCATAAATGTGTTCAGTGAAGCGTGTTTCAAGGTTTCTTGCTGTTTCACCTATATAAATCCTGTTGCATCCTCCACAGGGTATAGTGTAAACCCCTGCATTGACTGGGTTATTGTGCTTGGATTTTGTCCTGGTTAGATCCTTTATTGAAGTGCTGGAGGTGATGGTGACTCTAGTGTTAGCTTGTGAAAGTACTTTATTCACAAAGTAGATAACAACCTAAGATTTCAAGTTTACCAGAAACTTACAAATAAAAATAATCTCACACACTTCTATTCCAGTCAAGATACTAATACCAAAAGAGGCATCATCATTGGATTTTTCCCAAGTTCATACCGAATTTGTACTCTTGAGTTTCTTGATGAGGAATGTACATACATTCACCAAACCTTCACTGATTTACATTTTCCTTCCTTTTTCATCAAAGACTGCAAGAAAAGAGCTTTTCGGATCATTAGTTCTCCACGCACCAACGTCACTCCTAACAAAGTTATAATCCTTCCCAACAGCCAGGTTGCATTGAACGTTTCTAAAGTACTTGCACGAGCTAATACTAGAGTCACCATCACCTCCAGCACTTCAATAAAAGATCTAACCAGGATAAAATCCAAGCACCATGAACCAGTCAATGCAGGGGTTTACACTATACTGCGTGGAGGCTGCGACAGGATTTATGTAGGTGAAACAGCAAGAAATCTCAAAACACACCTCAATGAACACATTTATGCATGTAGGAACAATAACTTGAACAATGCCTGCGTACAACACCGAAATTCCACCAATGCTCTCATGAAATTCAAGGACGCCCAATTAGTGATCAAAGAAACTAATTTCTGCAGACGCAAGTGCCTTGAATCAGCACTAATCACTGTTTCTAATACAATTAAACTAAACAAAGGCAGCATCACCATCTCTGAAGTCTTAGCAAGAATCCTCCTGAAAATAGTAAATCCTGCCATCACATAGTCTCTCCTGCTAATACTACATAAGCACATTACAGAAGATGAACACTGAAACATGTCTTCTCTAGTCTAACCTCCAATAGAAATATTTGTCTAACCTATTTTTATGCTGCCCAAGTAATAGCTTTTATGTGCAAGTGATTGTTCTACCATATTGTATTATTACTACTACTACAACTTATATCACTACTACTACTACTTCTCCCAGTAGTATTACACCTCACTCTAAGCCTATATATACCTTCTGTGTCCATATATTGTTTGTAGGCTTGACAAAGCTCCTGGAGAGTGAAACGTTGCCACAATAAAATGTCACATTAGTTGCACTTGTGTCCTTGAACTTGAACTTGTTTTATATTACAGTGAAAACTAAATGACAAATTTATGTGATAAATAGGTTGAATTAATGCAGTGATTGTCACAACAGAACATTGACTGTGGGATTATGCAGGCGCAGTTCTACAAATCCGGATACTTATCAAGAAAATGAAGTTCTCAGAGTGAACATTTTGTTAAAAATAAAGAATGAAGAAAAGAACATAACATTGAATTACAATAAAAAAAATTATGCAAGTCAGCATAGTTGTCTAAAGTTGATGACAGATACCACACAGTTGAACAGAAAATCTTGAATATTTGCTGTGTTTTCTAAGGCTTTGCTGTGTTATGCAACTTGAAGGCTGATAAATGTCCTGTCTAGTTTTACTCTATATGTTGTCACTAAGTTTTGGGTACAGCTGCCTCAGATCTGATGCCCATAAAATGTGCAACTAAGAAACAGCAAGTTGACACACTTTTGTTGACATACATTCTGTTACAATAAATGCATATCCTCATATTGACACACTTCAAAGAATATATGCAAATCATTGAAAGCTTCCCTAGCACTCTTGACATAATACAAATACAGTGGAACCTCGGTTTTCGTGATTAATCCATTCTAAAAAGTCTGACAAAAACCGAATCATTCGAAAACTGAAGCAGTATTTCCCATAAGGAATAATGCTAATCAAATTAATCTGTTCCAGACACCCAAAAATATTAACAAAAAATACATTTTATAGAAAATAACTATAATTTTACATACAGAAAACAATGAGAAATAAATATAAATGACTAGTGAAATGGATAAGTGAACATTTAACATCACTTTTACCTTTTTGAAGACTTGTTGGCTTATGGAAGATGATGAGGAGGGAAGAGAGAGGAGGAGAGGTTTTTGTTTGGAAAGGGAATCTCCTTCCATAGGAACTTCAGGTATCAAGGCCCTATCTGGGGTTACTTCCCTTCTTTATGTTTTACTGGTACTAGGACCAGCTTGAGTCACTGTACCCCTGTTGCACAAAAAATTTGTCCAGAGAGGTCTGTTTTTGGCATCTGTTTAAAATTTGCCTAAAATGGGACAAGGCATTGTTATTGAACATGTTGCAGACACGGCTTGCTACAGCCTTGTTAGGGTGATATTTCACTCCACTTTGCACACATGTCCTTTATTACTGAAGAAGCACACTTGGAACTTTTTTTGGCCCCATGGTTTCTTATTTAGCAATCACACTCAATGAACAAGCACAAAAAACAATGGATTATTATGAAATGTTTTGGATGAACACGTGGGGTGATGCTCACTCAACAAGAAACAAAGGCAGACTGAGTCACAAATGCATGGGATGCTTTGTGTGGGCACTTGAGTGGCTGAGTCACACGAACGCGTTTGGTATGGACTATTTTCAACTCTACGAAAACTAAGCGGATGTATGAAAACTGGGACAAAATTTTGACAAAAAAAAGTAATTGAAAACCGAATTCTACGAAAGCTGAGGCATACGAAAACCATGGCTCCACTGTACAGTACCATAACACTAGCATAGACACAAATGCTGTAATGCAATGCAGGCAATATAAACATGTATGTTCATGACTTTATATATTCATAACACAAAACAGACATGTCTTTACTGACATAGTCTAAAGAGGATTATTAATATATATGGCAAATCCAGTACTTACTTCAAGGCATAAAACAGTACACCCACATGCCAATAGATATGAGGCAGTTGTACTCTAACATTGCTTCAGTACTGCAGTTTTCTGTGTAAAAACGACAGCATTGAAAGTATTTTCTAATATCAAGAGTAGTAAACACTGGAAGCAGACGTTCTGTTAAGTGGCACTTGAGTTGTTAATGTACATAGAATGGGAAATAAGTTTGATATTTAAAAAATCTGTTGTGCAATGTAATTCTGAGACAGTTAAGACAGCTGGACAAAGGCTGTGGTTAGGGAGAAAGAGTGAGAGGAATATTCTCAGATAAATAAATGTGATATAGTGTAATGTAGAAGAAAAAATAATGTACTTTTTTTTTCCTCCTGGGTACAAAGTAAAAGCTTTAAGGTTTTTACTAACATGAATAAAACTTAATGATATTTCTGTCTTCGGTAATTTTCCCCAAAAGTTTAGAGAATTACAGTAGGATCAGTATGCCTTGTCACTATATAGAGTGATGGGCAAATAGATAGAAAATAAGGAGTGCAAAAGTAGTGACTGTGAACATGGTTGTCACAACATTTGATAATTATCTGGTCCCATATTCTTAAAAATTCTAACATTTGTTTTCCCTAACAGTGGATGAAAGTATCAAATACATTTGTGGTATTAGAATGCTGATATGGTTTTGGTCATCTGAGTGATGAAACGCAAATAGCTAGTTAGATGCACGCTATTCTTCATTTTTGGGAAATTCAGAACATAAGAGTTTGATAAAACTGGTGGTGGGTCCTAAGTGTTGAGTAGTGAAAGTCACAGTCAGGAGGCTGACAAGCATCATATTATTTGTGGCTCCTGACCTCATGTATATTTATCACTTTACAAATACACTATTCTGCTATACATTCAAATTGTGAAAATAATACACACAAATGCATTTCCACCAGCATCCACAGTACAGTATATAAAGGTCACTGGTGTATGCATGGGTATTTATCTTGTATACTGTTTTCTTTTAAGAAGTATTACTGTAAATAGCCGGGGTGAATACAAGATCAATATAATTTGCCACATATGTTCTGATGGCTATACTTCCTGAAGATGCAGAGAGCATATAACACTCAAACAGAAAAATAATTATATCTAAGTCAATAGAGTACTAGGAATCTAGAGCACCACTTATACTCTGGGCCCGTTTCATGTGCTTTGAACTTTTTAATTCGAATGAGATTCCATGATAAGATTTTTGCCTCATCAGTTCTGTCCACCAGTTTCGTTTCTTTTTAGAACATTTACTCCTTAGACCACCTTCTCTCCTTCGTAATATTTGTGGGAGGTATTTACCAAACTCTTTGGAAACACATGACTGCTCACTTGTCCGGTCATCAGCCTTCTCTTGGCAGTTCCCCAGTTTATTCTCCTCTGTGGTGGGCTCCAAACATGGAAGAGTGGGAGCATTGCATGATGAGGGTTCCTCATCATGCAATGGTTTGCATTTGTCATCCACAGGCATAGCTGGAAAATTACAAACATTGCCATTAGGGATCACTGGGGAAGTGTGGTTTATGAGTCGAAGAGTTTCTTCATTGCTGTCTGGTTCAATAAACTCCCTGACTGGAATTTTCTTATCCTGTTGTTCAGTTAACAAGATCTTGGACTCATCCCCATGTCTTTCTTCTTTACACTTGGTAAGATTACTCTGGTTAGAAATGCTGATGTCATCCAGTAAAGGGTTACTGTATAAGGTCTCGTTTGATGAGGTTTTGTTCAAAGTGGACATATTCAAATGTTCTTTGCATGAAGAACTTAATAATACCTGTTTTATCAAGCCCTCACTGTTGGTATCACTATTAGTAAGAACTGAGCTGCAAGTATGAGAAGAGTATGTCGATGAGCGAGTAGCTATGACATCACTCTCACCTGACACTGGTTGAGCAAAGATGACAGTTTCCTTCTGCTCCACCTTAGTTGTTGAAGGTGAATCTGGGCAACACTTGGTGTTGCTTGTCTGTAATGAAGCTTCTGTGATTACCTCCGGTGTCATAGTATCAGTTATAATACTTTGGCCACCATCACAGCTAGCTGAATGGAAGCTGTGGGTTGATGTTGCACTGGCATCTCTTGAGGTAAAATTTATGTCAGCAATACATATTGTCATATCATGGTTTGGCCGAGTGTTAGTGTGGTGATGGGATACTGTGGGCCCCAAGGTGCATGAAGTAGAAAGTGGGGAGAGAGTGGAAGCACGCCAAGCAGTGACATCTTTCGGATTCAGTGTTTGTGGAAAATTATCTGAACACAGTGGCTGTGAATGATTGCCAGTTGATACTAAACGTGTTCGAGATGAGGCTGGAGATGTGTGTGTAGTAATTGTTGCAGCTCGTGGGCGTGAGGAAGGATATTGAACATCCTCTGATGACGTCATGATAGCAGGAGGAATGGACGAGGAAGGTGACATATTATGACGTGAGGATAGAGGGTCATAACTGCTTACAGTAGAGGACTGTGATCTCAGCTCATCCAAGGGTGTGTCAGGGAGAGGTGATGGGGAGCTCATCAAAGGCGTGGTTTGAGTATTGGCCATATGTGGGCTGGACGAGTGAGTGGGTAAGGTCATGTTTGCTCGGTAGATGGAGTGGTGGTGTTGGGACACCAAGCTGCGGCCATACATATAATCCAAGTCCATTGGGCGTCGCAGCAGACGGTGCAAGATGAACATCTTAAGGGCATTCCGAAAGTCCTGAGGGGTAATAAGTGGAGTTATTTTTTATTACTGCTATATTGGAGAGTGTAAGTCAGTGAGAACAAATTTATCTGTAATGTGTGATTATGTATTGTCCTCATTAACATACATTAATTTTCATAATTGTATATAAACTGAAGAATGAAACTATAGAGGAAGAAAACAACCTGAATTTCAGCACCCATATCCAAAACAGTTGGGATCCTCTCCAAGATACGATACTACGTGCCGCAAAATGCCCTTCTCACACTATACCACTCACTTATTTATCCATACCTCACCTATGCTATTTGTGCTTGGGGATCAACTGCAGCAACACACCTAAAGCCAATAATAACCCAACAAAAAGCTGCAGTAAGAATAATCACTAAATCCCATCCCTGGCAACACACCCCCCCACTCTTCATAGATCTAAACTTACTCCCTGTTCAGTACATCCACACTTACTACTGTGCAATCTACATCTACAGGACCTTAAACTCCAATATCAACCTTGACCTAAAACGCTTTCTTGATAGTTGTGACAGAACCCACAGGCATAACACCAGACACAAACATCTCTACGACATTCCCCATGTCCGACTAAACCTTTACAAAAATTCAATGTATGTCAAAGGCCCTAAAATCTGGAACACCCTACCTGAGAACTCTAGAACTGCAGACACATTCATCACCTTCAAAACTACCATTAGAAAACATCTTATCTCCCTGATAAACCCCATCAACTAACTACACGAATACCACCTGGTGGTTCACACTTACACTCACCCATTTGACCATAAACAAAAATATTAATCTCAATCTTAAAATAATGAATCCTATGATACTCCAATACTGAAACTATGTACTGTGCCAAAACAAAAGCATTCACATTGCTAAACTCACAAACTAGTATTTAGTCACTTGGCCATAATACCAACATACCTCATAATTTGTAATATTTTAAAATAAAGAATTAAACTAAGTCTGCCCAAAATGCCTAGCCATGCTAGGCGTTCTAGTGGTACACTCTGTAATCATTATTTAACTACATGTAAACCACACAACAACCAAATTCTGTAAATTCAACATTGTAATCTTTATACCTGGAGTTTACCTGGAGAGAGTTCCGGGGGTCAACGCCCCCGCGGCCCGGTCTGAGACCAGGCCTCCTGGTGGATCAGAGCCTGATCAACCAGGCTGTTGCTGCTGGCTGCACGCAAACCAACATACGAGCCACAGCCCGGCTGATCCGGAACTGACTTTAGGTGCTTGTCCAGTGCCAGCTTGAAGACTGCCAGGGGTCTGTTGGTAATCCCCCTTATGTGTGCTGGGAGGCAGTTGAACAGTCTCGGGCCCCTGACACTTATTGTATGGTCTCTTAACGTGCTAGTGACACCCCTGCTTTTCATTGGGGGATGGTGCATCGTCTGCCAAGTCTTTTGCTTTCGTAGTGGGTGATTTTCGTGTGCAAGTTCGGTACTAGTCCCTCTAGGATTTTCCAGGTGTATATAATCATGTATCTCTCCCTCCTGCGTTCCAGGGAATACAGGTTTAGGAACCTCAACCGCTCCCAATAATTGAGGTGTTTTATCTCCGTTATGCGCGCCGTGAAAGTTCTCTGTACATTTTTCTAGGTCGGCAATTTCACCTGCCTTGAAAGGTGCTGTTAGTGTGCAGCAATATTCCAGCCTAGATAGAACAAGTGACCTGAAGAGTGTCATCATGGGCTTGGCCTCCCTAGTTTTGAAGGTTCTCATTATCCATCCTGTCATTTTTCTAGCAGATGCGATTGATACAATGTTATGGTCCTTGAAGGTGAGATCCTCCGACATGATCACTCCCAGGTCTTTGACGTTGGTGTTTCGCTCTATTTTGTGGCCAGAATTTGTTTTGTACTCTGATGAAGATTTAATTTCCTCATGTTTACCATATCTGAGTAATTGAAATTTCTCATCGTTGAACTTCATATTGTTTTCTGCAGCCCACTGAAAGATTTGGTTGATGTCTGCCTGGAGCTTTGCAGTGTCTGCAATGGAAGAACACTGTCATGCAGATTCGGGTGTCATCTGCAAAGGAAGACACGGTGCTGTGGCTGACATCCTTGTCTATGTTGGATATAAGGATGAGGAACAAGATGGGAGCGAGTACTGTGCCTTGTGGAACAGAGCTTTTCACCGTAGCTGCCTCGGACTTTACTCTGTTGACGACTACTCTCTGTGTTCTGTTAGTGAGGAAATTATAGATCCATCGACCGACTTTTCCTGTTATTCCTTTAGCACGCATTTTGTGCGCTATTACGCCATGGTCACACTTGTCGAAGGCTTTTGCAAAGTCTGTATATATTACATCTGCATTCTTTTTGTCTTCTAGTGCATTTAGGACCTTGTCGTAGTGGTCCAATAGTTGAGACAGACAGGAGCAACCTGTTCTAAACCCATGTTGCCCTGGGTTGTGTAACTGATGGGTTTCTAGATGGGTGGTGATCTTGCTTCTTAGGACCCTTTCAAAGATTTTTATGATATGGGATGTTAGTGCTATTGGTCTGTAGTTCTTTGCTGTTGCTTTACTGCCCCCTTTGTGGAGTGGGGCTATGTCTGTTGTTTTTAGTAACTGTGGGACGACCCCCGTGTCCATGCTCCCTCTCCATAGGATGGAAAAGGCTCGTGATAGGGGCTTCTTGCAGTTCTTGATGAACACAGAGTTCCATGAGTCTGGCCCTGGGGCAGAGTGCATGGGCATGTCATTTATCGCCTGTTCGAAGTCATTTGGCGTCAGGATAACATCGGATAGGCTTGTGTTAATCAAATTTTGTGGCTCTCTCATAAAAAATTCATTTTGATCTTCGACTCTCAGTCTTGTTATCGGCTTGCTAACTTTGCTAAACTTTGAATTTGAATTGAATTGAATTGAATTAATTATAGAAAAGTAAATAGTTATACCACCTAACTCCATCCTTCCACACAGACAACTCACTCACTCACTCACTCTCTCTCTCTCTCTCTCTCTCTCTCTCTCTCTCTCTCTCTCTCTCTCTCTCTCTCTCTCTCATTCACATTGACAGGAGGGTCAGGGGAGACATGATAATGACATATAAAATACTGTGCAGAATAGACAAAGTGAACAAAGACAGGATATTCCAGAGATGGGACACAAACAAGCGGTCACAATTGGAAGTTGAAGACTCAGATGAGTCAAAAGGATGTTAAGAAGTATTTCTTCAGTCATAGAATTGTCAGGCAGTGGAATAGCCTAGAAAGTGCTGTAGTGGAGGTAGGAACCATACATAGTTTCAAGATGAGGTTTGATAAAGCTCATGGAACAGGGAGAGAGAGGACCTAGTAGCAATCAGTGAAGAGGTGGAACCAGGAGCTATGACTCGACCCCTGCAACCACAAATAGGCGAGTACACACACACACACACACCACACACACACACACACACACACACACACACACACACACACACACACACACACACACACACACACAAACAAACAAACAAACAAACAAACAAAACAGTCTTCAACACATCCATCGAAACAAGGTGAGTACCTGAGGTATGGAAGATAGCAAATGTAGTCCCAGTTGAAAAAAAAAAAAAAAAAAAAAAGACAGGCACGAAGCATTAAACTACAGACCAATGTTACTGACATGTATGCAGAGTCATGGAGAAGATTATCAGGAGAAGAGTGCTAGAGAACCTAGAAAGGAATGAGCTTATCAGTGACAACCAGCACAGTTTCAGGGACAGGTGTTGACGTACAGGGCAATGAACAGGCAGACACTGCTGCACAGTCAGCAGTACACGACCTACCATACACAAATAACCCGCACATAAAAGAGAGAAGCTTACGACGACGACGTTCCAGTCACGGTATTGTGCCTTTTTGTTATTTACGACCTACCAGTTTCATATAGAGGTGTTCCATTTACAGACTATTTTGCTGCAATAGCTACCAACCTTCACACCCGTTGGCAACAACGTTGGTCTACTCTACTCGGTAACAAACTTCAATCTATTAAACCGAGTATAGGTTACTGGCCGTCTTCTTGTCACCAGTGCCAAGGTTGGGAGACTACTCTCTCCCGTCTCTGCATTGGCCATACTCGTCTTACTCATGGATATCTCATGGAGAGGCGCCCTGCTCCTCTCTGTGAGAATTGTCAGGTTCCATTATCAGTCAGCCACATTCTGTTGGACTGCCCACTTTATCAACGAGCACGCAGAATTTACCTCCAACGTCGTCTTCGCTCCGCTGCTCTCTCTTTACCTTCCCTTCTTGCTGATGGACCCACCTTTCATCCAGACTCTCTCATTGACTTTTTGACAACAACTGACTTCACAAACTCTGATAATACCTTCAGCCCTTTCTACCTCGATCTCTTGCTACCCTCTACCCTGCACTATCCCCTGCCCCGCTGTTTTCTGTAACCTACTGATTGCCCCTTCCCCCTTCTGCTGCCCAATACCCTTGCTTCCTTTCCTACCCTGCAGCGCTGTATAGCCCTTGTGGTTTAGCGCTTCTTTTTGATTATAATAATAATTCAGTGACAGGAAATCCTGTGTCAGAAACCTGCTGGAGTTCTATGACAGGGTGACAGCAGCAAGACAGGAGAGAGAGGGGTGAGTAGATTGCATTTTATTGAACTGTAAGAAGGCATTTGATGCAGTTCCGCAAGAGATTAGTGCAAAAGCTGGAGGACCAGGCAGGGATAACTGGGAAGGCACTTCAATGGATCAGGGAATACCTGTTAGGAAGACAACAGCGAATCATGGTACATGACAAGATGTCAAAGTGGGTGCCTGTGACAAGCGGGGCTCCACAGGGGTCAGTCCTAGGACCAGTGCTTTTTCTGATATATGTGGATGACATGATGGGAGGAATAGACTCAGAAATATCCCTGTTTGCAGGTGATGTGAAGCAGATGAGAAGAATTCAGTTGGACGAGGGCCAGGAAAAACTACAAAGGGATCTGAACGGGCTGCAAGCCTGATTCAGAAACTGGCTCCTGAA